GAAAATATACCACGCTGATGATGGAAACAGACCCCTTGTATCCAGGGTTCACAAGACTGAAGTTAGCTGCAGACGACTATCATTCTTCTTATCGTTTGATCAAAGATTCTCTAGTACAAAGTTTGCAAACCAACAAAAATGGTTTTTATGTATCAACCTATAAATTCGTTAAAAATATTCAACAAATAACGGAGTCAGTTGAAACGTTATTACACGGTCCATGTTTATCGGATTTACATGAGGAAATGGACTTTGCGTATTGTCTCCGTTGTAAATCGTTCCCATACAATGCAAGCAATTGGGTAAATCGTCATAGGAAACATTGGCCACCTAATGAAGTAATTGATACAATTGTGAAGAACGGCTGTTTGTTGGTACCTGTTGGACCTTAAACAATGACAAACGATCAATTGTTGTGGAGTTTAATTATACGCAATTATTATGTTACGGCCTTCTTAAATTAACAATGAAACACATCATTAACAAAACACCTGGTGTAAAGGGTTTGTTATGCTCCTAATACTCCGAATTACAGATTATGTTTTATCAAAGTGTACACATGATAAGTTATATAGGCTTTTTAACTTTTCCCCAAGATATGATAAATAACTATGCGAAAAATAAATCATTTTACATACTTGAAACGTTCTTCTTTAATACCAGCGGAGCTAAGTCTGGAGGTGGAAAATAATGAATTGTATGTACTTCCTGTTGTTTTAACTCATTGTCTCAGAGTTCTGTGTTTCCATCATCTCGGTGAAACCTTCAATACACTACAAGCATGGCAGGATTTGAACTTAACTGTTAGAGAAAAATATTTCATTACAAGCAGTCTAACATCTGAATCATTAACAATTATCGGTGTGTGCTGTGAAGTATCTGGTGATATAGATTCAGTTTATGTGTGCTACGATACAGTTTCACGTATTCATGTTGGGACTAATAATACAGCAGAAATTAGAAAAAAAGAACTCTTGAAAAGACGAAATGTTAGACTCTAGAAATAGTCGTTCTGTTAATGGATGTTTCTGCGCAAATGAAATGGTAATGCGCGCAAGTGTAATGCACCGGTTTATCGGTAAACATTAGAGAAAACGAAACTGGGATGGGGTTGGGGGAGGGACTAAGATGAAAAATTATGTCCTGTCTATTTTTTAGTTTTAATCTCTGTCCTGTTTTTTGTTGTTTTTTTTTTCACTCTATTCGGTTCTGCCTTTTTATTACTTCATTCTGATTTTTTTTAAAATAAATTGTCATCCTGCCTTTTTTCAAATTTCTTTCTAGCCCCCATCCCCATAAACATCAAACGGTAGTTCCCTTATGTAGACTAGGTTAATTGATTATCAATAACAAAACCAGAGACGATTTCAGAAACATTATTCTTTTTTCAATCCATTCGAAAATAACAATCATCCGAAAATATCGTACCTTCAATTCGATCATAAGAACCGTTTTCCTTGCTAAACTGTAACAGTTTATATGTTTCTTTATTATACAAACACTCGTTTTTTTGAACTTTACGCAGATGTATTCCCTGTTTTATTTTGCAAGGACGCTTAAAAGCTGTATTGTGAAAATTCCGTTTTAACATATAGGCCAAAGGTCAAACATTAACATTCTGTCATTTTGCAAGAATTGTACAAAGTGACCTTTTTCTAGCCCTTGTATTATTAAAATGAAAATAACACTCAATTAGTGTATACGCCCGACGCGCTTTTCTTGATTAACCTTCATCAAGAGCGCTCAATACCAATTTTTTTCGATGCACGAAACATATATGGTTATAAGGGAGCAGCCATTTAACTTCAAAAAGTTTTTTCGAGGCGAAAATTTTACACTATAAAGTATGGGGGGAATTTGCATTTAGAAAAAAATAACTAAAGTCCACTGTATCTACCTCTCTCTATTTCTGAATTATGGTTACTTATTCTGAATTTTGTCATCTCAATTCTCAGATTCCTATTGCCTATATACATTTAAAAGGTTCAAAACGTGTTTTTCTCTTAAAAAGTCTATATGTTCTTATTTCCAAATGATTTATTTTTTTTGTCGTCGTTTAAAGAAAAATACCACAACTGATTATACCATAATTTTAGTTTGTTTAAAATAAAGCTTTTCAAATTGGATTTCATATTAAAAACTTGTGATAATTATATCGATCTATCACAGGCAGGCACAGGCACTTTATTTTATTTCAGGGACAAGTTCCTGTATAATTGAAGTTCTAATAAATATGATTTTCAGATATTTGTCCAATGACCATTAAGTACAACTTTCCAAATCTTCTTCGCTCTTGAAACATGGTGTAAACGAGGAATTAAATTATGCGTCATAGTGTGTTATTATGGTACTATATTGTCAAAATATGAACTGCATTAAAAATGGCGAAATCAAACTTGATGGCGGTATAATCTGTTCGGCTGTACATGAAAGCAAACACTCCTACACTGTATAAGAAATTTCTGTCAAATGATATCATGTTAGTTGTGTTCACAAGATAAAGTAAGCAAAGTCCCATAACTCCCATAAAAATGGTCGAAGCCAAATGATGGTATGATATGGTGCAGTACACATAATGGCAAACAATAATATAAGTATGAAAGCTTTATGTGAAACGGTCTCAGATGAGGTGCTTTCAAAAAGTGTTGTAACAGTTGTAAAAATACTCCTGGACCAACAAATGGTCAAATCCACAAACTCCTTGAACAATAGTCAAAGTAAATGTCGATAAGTGGTGACAAACGATAGTACCAAGAGTAAGAGCTTTCTGACAAATAATCTCAGAGCAGTTGCATTCACAAGGTGTAATTGTCAACATATTTTCCCATATATAGTCAAAGTATCACAACTCCCGTCAAGAATTGTCAAATCAAAATGGCGATAAGTGGTGGCAAACGATAGTACCAAGTGTAAGAGCTTTCTGACAAATAATCTCAGAGGAGTTGCATTCACAAGGTGAAATTGTCAACATATTTTCCCATAAATTGTCAAAGTATCACAACTCCCGTCAAGAATGGTTAAATCAAAATGGCGATAAGTGGTGGCAAACGATAGTACCAAGAGTAAGAGCTTTCTGACAAATAATCTCAGAGGAGTTGAATTCACAAAGTGAAATTGTCAACATATTTTCCCATAAATTGTCAAAGTATCACAACTCCCGTCAAGAATGGTCAAATCAAAATGGCGATAAGTGGTGGAAAACGATAGTACCAAGAGTAAGAGCTTTCTGACAAATAATCTCAGAGGAGTTGCATTCACAAAGTGAAATTGTCAACATATTTTCCCATATATAGTCAAATTATCACAACTCCCGTCAAGAATGGTCAAATCAAAATGGCAATATAAATTGGAAAGCTACACAAGATGGCAACTAATCCTCCTATATATGAGAGGTTTTTATAAAACCGACTGAAAAGAGTTGCATATAAATATAATTTGCTTTTGAAAAAGAACATGACGATAATGTTTTATTTATCCTGTAAAATATTACTACAGATAAATATACTTTACTTATCTATATTAGAATGTCTATAGATATATAATCGTAAGTTAACTTTGTAAGTACCGGGGAAAAACGTCCTGTTAAAAGGAAGTTTAAAACTTTACTTAAATGATCTCTTTGTTTAAAATGAAACTGAGAGTTGGAAAGTTTCTAACATAAAGTGCAAACCACTTGCTTATAATTACAATGTACAAAAGTAAAACAACACCCTGCTAACTTCACTCTGATGCCAGATCTATCATTTGTTCATTTTGAACATATACAATATCTCATTGTCAATTCAATTCTTAAGTCAAGTTTATTTTAACACATATTGAACGGGTGTGAAAACATCTTCATGGTATTAATTTATTCCTAGCAAAAGTGTTATTCTTTTCATAACCGATATTTAATGTGGTCATAAGAATTTCCCACTCCATAAGTAAATCCAAGAAACATTATTTCCAGCAAGTAAAGCTTTACAAAGAAAACAAACTTGGGATAAATTGAGTGTTTGAAAAGATAAAAAATGCGTTCTTTAAACAACCAGACAAAACAGAAAAAAAAACAGAAAAAAATGTTTTTACATATTCAAAATTTTCTTAAATGATCTTCAGTGGTCGATAATTTTAATTCTAATGCAACAACGTTTGTAACGTTCATTTTGATTAGATAACGTCACTTATCTCCATGGCATCAATTGACAATTGATGATATGGAACGAACGCGACAGTGCAGACGATATATGACAGATTTTAAATACACGTTTCAACGTCGTTTTCTGTCAGTTTTATTAAAATGGAGATAACAATATTCTAAGCTTCGACGGCATCAATTGGTGAACGCGTCGCCAGTAAACTTAATTTTCGACCATCAAAACACCAATTGATGCCTTCGGAGCTTAACATACAATACAGTTATCTCCTAAATGTCATGTATTTATACACTGTACAGTCAATAGACAGTAAATATCTACAGTTAAGACTCGACTAAGGATTCAAGTTTTGCATGAGGGAAGTTACCTTACATTGTAACTGCAAATGTTTTTTTAATAATACCCGTATTATCATATTATCACAAAAACTAGTTGAGCCATTAATATAAGGACAAAAGTTAAGTATTCAAGTCAACAAGCATAAGAAACAATACCAATAATGACATAAAATGCCATACAGTAATAAACATAGGGCACTTCGGAAAATGTCGTTTTTTCTTTAATGCTCGAAGAAAAATTATATTTGAAAAATGATTTTCAAAAAATAGTTTTAAACATTTATAATCGAGATACATGTAACCATAATCATGTTAAATTATTACAAATTTCAAACACAATTAAAACATGTTTTACATTGAGGATACGGCTGCACCCATACAGACAAATGGCTGTTTATAATTACTAAACCGGAACTTAACAGTCCATTTTCAAATTAATCAAATAAAAAGATTAATGTATTATTACGTAACGGAATTATTTACACTACATTTGCATAATAATTCTTCCGTAAAGTATTCAGTAATCAACATTTGTAAAATTGTAGGTGTGTTGCTTAAGTATGGACATATATGAAAGTTAATGGTAAGCATTTAATTTATATTACATATTTATCAGATGTAAACTTTGGTGATAAAACAAACTTTTTATTTGTATGAGTTTTGTGTGTGCAATTTTGTGTAAGCTTCTTTTAAAAAATCAGTCGAAATGGAAATGAAAATGTGTACAAGAGAAGTAAGTTATACCAAGTTCTTATAATATGTTTCGGACAAATGTTTTGCACAGAATAGGAACATTGTGAAGAATATTTAAGTACTAGTTTGCATATATGGAGGACTGCAGGCGCATAACACGTACCAAATACGTGATTCTAGCCTGTTATCTAATAAAAGTTGATGACATGCCTTGTTCTCTATACAGTTAAAATAAGTTATATCGCAATTACAAGGTACAAGTAATCAACGATAAATGGCAGTGTAAACACGATCTCCAACTAAGCTATGGAATGAAAATTCGAAAACCCTAGTTTTAGGTGGAGATGTGACTCAGTCAGTGTTCGATGTTGTGTTTTGCATACTGTTGTTTGTCTTTTGGTCTTTTTCGTTTAATGACATGGCGTTGTCAGTTAATTTCCATTTAATTGATTGAATGTCCCCTTGGTATCTTTCACTTCTCTTAAATTTGACATCAAAGGCTTGTCAGTGAAAAACACAGTAAGATGCACACACAAGGCAAAGGATATATAAGTTAAGATTGAAACCGTGAAAAAAATGTTTGGGGGTTTCCTATGCGAAAACTAGATCTTCCGTAAAATGAATGACGTTATAATACCAGACTGGTCTTTTCTTAAATATATATTATACTGTATTGCTTCATTAATGCAACAAAATGTGAATTTTTATAACCAATCATACATACACCTAATACGTCCATTCTATTACAGCTATTTCATTATGGATATAAATATTGGACGAACATTCAAACAAGGTGTAGCAGAAAATAGAAATATTCATCGAATGAGAAAAGTAACGTATTGGGAAAAATATGGAGTTAAACGTTTTCCATACCGTGGGATACGACGGTTCACTCCAATTCTCAATCAACATTTTGACGGTCAAATTAGTATAACAAACGATGTATTTGGCCTCACTATTCAGCAATTTGAACGGACATTTAGAGCCTGTTTGGAAAGAAGAAAACAAAATTCTCAATGCATACTTAATATAAGATATCCTGTGAAATCTTCCAACAAATACCTTGAATATTTGGAAAATTGTACAGGTCATATTGAAGGTAAATTGATATAATTTATTGGAAAGTAATCAATGCTACAAATATTAAACAGTAACGTAAAGGAATGATATTTATAAAAAAAAACTTACACACTCATTGAATATGATTGTACCGATTTCTCACCAATTGCAACATTGATCATGTGCAGCATCAACCACAGAATATTATGATGAACACGGATCTGTCTGGGGATATACTCTATACCTGTTTAGCTCACCGGCACAAATAGGCCAAATGAGCTTTTCTCATCACTCGGCGTCCGTTGTCGTCCGTTAACATTTACAAAAATCTTCTCTGAATCTACCAGGGCCAAATTGAAAAAAAAAATGGTCATAATCATTATTGTGGTCTCTAAGCATTAGTTGATAATTGTTCGTTATGGAATATCTAGACTAGTTCACATATAACGATGGCACGTTTACAAATTTATGTCGTACCGACAATCCCGTTATTGTGTCCTCAAACATCACACCACTTAATGGGACTGATAACTTATATGTAGGGACATAAGCAACACACGACGAATGCCATATGTTGATCAGGATCTGCTTACACTTCAGGAATACCTGAGATCACCCAGGTTTTAAATTGGGGTTCGTGCTACTCAGTCTTAGTTTGGATGTTGAAACTTGTCTTTTTGTCGTGTTTCGTTTTTAGCATTGGCGTGATAAGTTTTCCTTCGATTGTTTGGATATTCCTTTAGTATCTTCTCTCTTATTTTCTTCAGCTATACGCTACGGGTATCTTGGGTATAGCAATATGGTCACTGTTGGTCGTCTTTTCGTCAGCAGTAAAACCCATAGCAAAGTGGATATGCATGTCCTTTTGACAGTGCGGGATAATTTCGCAGCCACATTTGGTCAGAATATGGATTCCACATTCTTTGTCTTTTGTTGAGAGAGTGCTACGCTCTACCCCGGTTGAAAACCTAAAACAACAATTCGGTGGGGGGAGGGGGTCCATAGGGAGCCTGTTGCAATGCAAAATGTCTGCGTGTATCAAACAAACCCTAGTTGTACAGTTGCAGTTTAATAGTCCCGCACTTCAACTGTCTCAAAAATGAATGTAACCATTTATCTTTGAAACATAGCAGTTTACCATAATATTTCCAAATTCATTAAAGAAATATCCATGTATTCATTTTTATCTTTTAGGTAATGTGCTCTGGACCGGAATAAATGTTAATAATAAATACATGTATGAACAGCTTGTTCAAATAGTCGGAACAGAAAGAGACATACGTTATAGACAACGGTTATTTCTGCTTAAAGATATGATAGAAAGTAATATGGACATTTCTAAATTACCACATATTACAAGTGGAAGTATATCTGAAGGACTTGATTTACCCGGCAGTGACCTTGATATAATGTTTGTAATTGGTGTTGTAGAAGTGATAAATATGGCAGAAAATATAAAATATTCACGAAAATATACCACGCTGATGATGGAAACAGACCCCTTGTATCCAGGGTTTACAAGACTGAAGTTAGCTGCAGACGACTATCATTCTTCTTATCGTTTGATCAAAGATTCTCTAGTACAAAGTTTGCAAACCAACAAAAATGGTTTTTATGTATCAACCTATAAATTCGTTCAAAATATTCAACAAATAACGGAATCAGTTGAAACGTTACTACACGGTCCATGTTTATCAGATTTACATGAGGAAATGGACTTTGCGTATTGTCTCCGTTGTAAATCGTTCCCATACAATGCAAGCAATTGGGTAAATCGTCATAGAAAACATTGGCCACCTAATGAAGTAATTGATACAATTGTAAAGAACGGCTGTTTGTTGGTACCTGTTGGACCTAAAACAATGACAAACGATCAATTGTTGTGGAGGTTATCTTTTTCTGTGGCAGAAAAACAACTGGTTCATTCGTTTAATTATACGCAATTATTATGTTACGGCCTTCTTAAATTAACATTGAAACACATCATTAACAAACAACCTGGTGCAAAGGATTTGTTATGCTCCTACTTTCTGAAAACAACGCTATTCTGGTTATCAGAGAAAGTGTCTATCGAGACATTTCAGTTAGCTAACATATTTAACTGCTTTTTCTTGTGTTTAGATACATTAAGATCGTTTATTAACAATTGCTACTGTCCTAACTACTTTATACCTGAACAAAATATGTTTCAAGGAAAGGTCAATATGAGAAATAATAAGAGATTGCTAAGTATCCTTCACAGTATTGAACGTGGCGGAACAGCTGGACTGATATCTAATTTTTTTTCCGAAGGTGCTACTTTAGATTGCCTAGCACCAACTTTTAAATGCAAATCTTCCACGCAGTTAGATTTTTTCTTTTATAAATATATCTCCGTATTAAGGTCTGAAACGTATATAAATAACTGTTACCGAGGAATGATTATTGCTAAATCTTTCCTTAAGAGTGAATCGTCTATCTTTGTACGGGATGTATGTAAATGGTGGCTGGACAGTCTCAATCATTTTGTGGTGCAACTACTTCCTCGTCCATTTTTGGGACAGAATGTCAAAAATAAACAAAATCGTTATCATAAACATTTACTTCAAAGTTTACAAACAGATGCTGTGAATGGTTGGCTGTTATACGCTTCGTTTTATTACGTACTTGGACAGTACAAAGTTACACTCCGAATTACAGATTATGTTTTATCAAAGTGTACAGATGATAAGTTATATATAGGCTTTTTAAGTTTTCCCCAAGATAAAATAAATAACTATGCGAAAAATATCTGTACAAAAAACGTAACACTTAATGAAAAGGCGAAATTAGCGACTATAAATCATTTTACATACTTGAAACGTTCTTCTTTAATACCTGCGGAGCTAAGCCTGGAGGTGGAAAATAATGCATTGTATGTACCTCCTGTTGTTTTAACTCATTGTCTTAGAGTTCTGTGTTTCCATCATCTCGGTGAAACCTTCAATACACTACAATCATTGCAGGATTTGAACTTAACTGTTAGAGGAAAATATTTCATCACAAGCAGTCTAACATCTGAAACATTAACAATTCTCGGTGTGTGCTGTGAGGTATCTGGTGATATAGATTCAGCTTATGTTTGCTACGATAAAGTTTCACGTATTCATGTTGGGACTAATAATACAGCAGAAATTAGAAAAATCGAACTCTTGAAAAGACGAAATGATAGACTCTAGAAATAGTCGTTCTGTAAATGGATGTTTTCTTTAATGCACATTTTGAATGTATTTGTTTTCTGTACGTCTAAAACAATTTCATCTATTTATAGATTATCGTTGGTTATTTCAACGAGATTGATTTTCACGCTTAAGCCGGTACGGCGAAAGTGAGAAAAGCAATCGAGTTGAGATGACCAATGATAATCTGTTTATCGCTATATTACCTATGAAGACGTTGTTAATTTCCTTGACAACAGCACGTGTTTCCTTAGTTTCTAGCGATAACTTTCATATCACTCGACTCCGTTTTCATATCACTGGACTTTGTATGGTTGGGGGTTGTGGCTCAATGAAATCGGTCTCTTTCTTTAGTAGTATAGATCTTAGCTTAGAAAAGGTTTGAGCTCTGGCAAATGTATTTAATTTGGCAATAAGTTTGCTGCAATGTGTAGTAATGTTTAAAAGACACTCATAAGCACTTTTTTAGAAATATCTCTGACACATTCATCAATCATACCTAAAACTCTTAGAAATATTCAATTACGAAGTTTTACTAGTTCGGTTTTCCTATACTTGTTATAATAAAAATAGTGTTTTATCTTAATTATCTTAAGGATATAAAACGGGGACATTAAAAAATGTTATTCCTCTTTTTGATGGAGCTAAGTGGAAACATGTATATAAGTGATGTTTTCTAATAAATAAAGACAAAATCTAAATGCAACATTCGAGCATCGCCTGCAAACGGAGAATTTATATCTCCCAATTGATACGATATACCCGGGATTGTATTTACTGTCATGATTTCATTGATAAAGGGTTGCTGCTCACAAAGAATCATTAAAACAAAGAGTTCCAAATGGTTGTTGAAGTTGAAATCATTCCTTCATTAATTTTACGGACGCCTCCACGAGTTGGTTGACCGTTATGGATTATCCGTTTCACAGACGATAGCGGATATGTTCCTTACGTCGTTACTACAATCCCGTTTCCTTTTCACGAAAGTGACTTACCGAATGAAACTTTTTACCGGGTTTGTATTAACATGAACAACACGATGGGTGCCACATGTGCAGCAGAACTTGCTTACCCTTCCAGGGCACCTGTTTTTGGTGGGGTTGTGTTGTTTGGTCTTTAGTTTTCTATGCTATGTCTTACATGTATGTACTATTATTTGTCTGTTTGTCTTGTTCTTTTTGTTGTCAGTTTTTTTTTTTCGATGTTTGAGTTTGAGTGTCCATTTGATATCTTTCGCCCCTCTTTTACATGATACAGATAGGAGAAGCAAAGGATGCCAAAGGAATATTAAAACGCATAAGTTGAAAAATAATGGACAACGACGTTGGCTGAAAAGAACAAGCCAACGAACAACAGAACACAACACTTTGAAAACCAACAATTGATCAATAATACCCCTCCTAAACTGGGGTTGACCTTAGGTGCTCCGGAAGTGTACGGCAGATTGTTTGATTTAGTGTGATTTTTTACAAAGTTCCATGCTTCCCTCCTTAAGACAAGAAACTTGAATCTACGTAGGCCATTCGTTTTTATGAAACAAAACATGATTAACTCTTTATATTGGTCTTTTAGTTTGGAATTGGAATACTTGTTAAAAGTGAAGAAAAGTGAACTGGTTTAATACTGTTGCAAGATGAAAGAGTCATTGATTCATTGTACTCTAAAGAATCTTTTGATTTGTTAAGTATCTGCATCTGATTCACGTCACCTCAAGAATAGATAGGTTCACAATAACTTTGAACCCTGGCTTTGATTACTGATCGAATTGATGTCAATATTTAAAAAGAGGTTTAGTGGAACACCTTGAAAACTCAGCAATATGTAATGTGCAAGAACACTTATGTAGATATCCAAAACAGTGAAGGATAATCCAGTTATTTTGGTTGAAGTTTCAAAGGAACATATTTCCTCCTTGGTAAGTGTCGATTAATATATATCAAATATCAAGAACGCATCATTGTGTTTCAAGGTATATCAGCATAAAATGAAACGCCATTTTTTTTCATGCAATACGACGGATGCTACATGTGGATCTGTCTGCTTATCTTCCAAGCTCACATGACATCACCCCTGATTTCGTCAGCAAGCGTGTTGTTTTGTATATAATTTTCTTTTTTGTGTTTTGTTTTCAGTCATTGTAATTTTGGGTTCGTTTTTCTAGAAAAGATACCATAATTTTATTTTTGTTTTTACTTCAATTTTTTGCAATTGTCATCATTCCCATTTACACCATTGATTCTAAATGTTTTCTTTTGTCTTTAATGGATTTTGATGTGTTTATCAAGTGTGAATCAGTATATAATAATATGTCGTAAAAAAAGTTCCGTAAACTCAACACTCCATTTTGTTTACATGTTCAGATTCAAAACTTTTTTGCCGTGCATTAACAAAATACGGAAATTATGGTTTCAAACTGAAAACACGCTTTGATGAGTTAACTAACACGGTTTACAACTAACTGGACCAGGTGTATAAATGTGAACAAATTTAATGTGAAACCAGTGTACATTACATTAAACTAATTGTAAACTGTGAACATGTTTACTGTACATGGCGTTTGGTGTGAACACGGCCTTAGTTTTATCATGAAGTAAATCAGTGTAATCAGTAAATTGTCATGTGGAGATTAGATGTTTCACTATGGGCGTATGTGTATGCAAGTTGTAAGCCAAGGTATGTTTTATTTTGATAAGATGTTTCTTCTGCATCGTCTACATAGTATATCCTGATTTGAATGACTCTTTCATCCAAATATCAAACTATTATCATGGACAGACAATCATTGTTGAATCGTGATGAATGTATGCTTCCAAATTGTTTAGGTAGACTGATAAATCATGTTTTTTTCTCCAGAAATCTGACTCGCAATATAAGACATCAAACGGTCACGAAGTATAGAATCACATAAACATCAAAACCTACTGCAATGCAAAATCATGTTTGTTTTCCAGAAAGGTCAAGCGCGTTCTTAGATATCAAACGGGCATGAAATGTGGAATCACATGACATGAAATTCACTGCATTCTCATACTAAAGACACCGGTACAAATTGAACACAAACACTGGTCTCATCTTTCAATGACAATAAGACGCCAACATTGATTAAAGGTCAAAGGATGGCTGCACGGTGATTTTCTGTTTGTTTTCAACATAAGTCTATATGCATTTCAACATATATTCGTAATTACAAGATTTAACTACAAGCTAATTAATGTCAATATTGCGTTCAACTTTTGATATATATCCTCGTCATTGTTAATGAAACAAAATACCCATTTTAAACTTGAATAACAAAAATACTTATTTCCGTTTGTACTTTGTTTATCAGTCTTCTAGCGTTCTTGTTAACTAAGCTGCGAAAAAACCGAACTAAAGTTGAATGATCTTTCTTCCTAAAAGAATCACAAAAAAAAAAACGAACAAAAAACTTATTGGTAGCAAGAAAATAATTTTCAGAAATAGCTTCTTCCTAAACTATACATAATATTCCAATTATTAATATGATTTAATTACAGAAGTTAACCAGCTGAACCTTTTTACTTGGTATTATGTGACATTTCGTTGAAAATAACAGTTATGTACTAAATATGTAATTGTTAGTATTTCCATTATATTAGAATATGAAGATGTGGTATAATAGCCAATGAGACACCTATTCATCAGATACCTCAAAATAAAATAAAATTTATCTTTCGGGTCGTATTCAAAGAGTCGTTATTAATGGTCAGACATCATCGAATCAAAACACTTATGCTGGTGTATCCCAGGGCTCTATACTCGGTCCTCTGCTTTTTCGTATGTATGTTAATGATATAAAAGATGGAATTATCAGCAATATCAAACTGTTTGCTGATGATACTTCCCTTGTCAAACAAATTGATGACATTTTTGATTGCTTTCAAACTCTGAACAGTGACTTCGACACGTTGAACACATGGGCCCATCGATGGTGTGTTACTTTCAATGCACAAAAAACTGAGTATCTTATTATTTCTAAGAAGAAGCAAATACCCCATTACCCTCCATTGATCTTAAATAATGTAAATATAAAGAGAGTTGCACACCATAAACATTTAGGTTTTATTTGGAATGATAAACTTTCTTGGACCGATCATATTGCTGATATTTGTAAAAAATGTCATAGTAAACTGAACACTATCTTGAGGATGCGACATATATTACCTAGATTAAGCATTGAAAAATTATATAAAACATTTGTTCGTTCATTGCTAGACTATGCAGATGTCATCTGTGATTACTGCTCTAGTGCCGATTCTGCAAACATTGAACATGTACAGAGACGTGCCTGCATTATATCTACTGGGGCAATCAGGGTCACAAAACATGTCACTTTATTGAGAGAGGTTGGCCTTGAGCTTCTTAAAACACGCCGTCAAGTTCATAGACTTACATACCTGTACAAAATTAAAAATCGTCTTGTCCCAGATTATCTCTGTTATTTTCATCCATTGTTCCATCCTAACACCGAAAACTATAACTTAAGATGACATACCAACTTGATACCCATCAGGTCAAGATCAGTAGCATACTATAATTCTTGTCTTCTAGCTACGATTAGAGACTGGAATAGTTTGTCAGCTGAACTAATTTCAGCAACATCTTTGGCGAGTTTCAAAAGGTTGTTAAAGAAGAATCTCAATTTGTGTAGTTAAAAGATATATTCACGATGACATGGTTATGAGAAAAAGATTCATACTAGATTACGATTAGGGCTTAGTGCCCTGAATGACCACTTGTACAAATATAATCTTACATTAAATAGATTTTGCAATTTCTGCCTAGGTAACCATATTGAAAGCACTGAGCACTATTTAATTCATTGCGCCCGTTTCACGAACTATCGGATTACTCTTCTACTTGGTATTAAGAATCTGATTTGTCCAGATATAAATATAGCAATGTTGCGGGATCTATGTCCCAACTATATGAGCAAAATTTTAATGGAAGGTAGTGACGATTTGTCTGATGCTACTAATTTAGAGCTGTTTGAGTGTGTGTTTCTATACTGTAAACCAACTTATTTTCGCGAATACTTTATTTCGCGTTTATCTTATTCTAGTCAACACGCGACGATTTTATTTCGTGATTTTCAAACTACATGGTGTAGTTAAATAAGAAAATATCATTTTTTACATATTCGCGGCGATTAATTTTCGCGTTATTTATTCACTCGCGAAAGTCACGAAAATAATTCGCTCGCGAAAATTAGTTGGTTTACAGTATATTAAATCTTCAAACAGATTTTCTCGATAGCTAAATAACTTATTTGTACTTTATCTT